GGCAAGTGCTTTGGGGAGCAGCAGGACCAGCAGGATGCCCGCACACATGCAGACCCAGACACCCAGCACTGGGGCACTGGGCACAGCAGCCTAATTCCCACCCGTTTGCCTACTCCGTGTTAGCGTGCGGAGACACCGACTCCGACCTGTTTGTATGGAGACTGAGGAACGGTAATTAAGCTGGATGCCTGTTTTGAGTTGACTGAACCATCTAGAAACGAGGCCAAGAAAAATCTCAGGCATTCTGCTCCTGGGCTGAAATATTCCATGTGACCAGGCAGGTGTTTCCCAAGCTCCAGCGACCACAGCAGTCACCTGTACCCGAAGCCAAGACGCTTTTCTGCGCCACCGGAGGGGCAGACGAGAAGAGGTAAAAGGAGAAAGAAGAGTGATTTATGCTGCTTCATCAGCTGCTGGCAAGCAGCTCTGGCTGCGTGCACGCACAAAGCCCTGAACGTCTTTGAAGGTGAAGTCAGAGCCCGACGTGCCGAACGGTACGCTGGCGCTTACTATCTATAGCAAGTGTGCAGCGAGCTTTGGTTCCGCTGGGCACGGCAGCGGCGCGCTTCGCGACGAAGGGCTGAGCGTGCTGAGCCCGAGCGACTGTGACGCTAATGGCAGTAAAATCTAAACCTTCAAAAGCCGGTATTTTCGAGTTTTATGGATCCACAGCTTGGGGGTAGAGGGGATACAGAGAGGGAGAGAGGATGAAGGATTTTGCAGACTGAAAAAGCAAGTGGAGACACACACTGTAAACTTCTTTCACGCAGAGATGTGTATGAAAAGCCACAAGCCGTTTTTATAAAAGGTTTTCCTGCCTGAAAGGGCTGTGGGCAGGGGGGATCTGCCACGAGGAGCCATTCAGGATGATCCCAGAGCAGAACCAGACACCCAGCCTGGCGGCACCGCAGGGTTTGCTCAGCCTGCCGAGGCCACCTCTTACCACGCAGCCAGGCCGGAGCGACACACGCTCCCTGGAAAGGCCCTGATCCACCACGCGACCCCTGGGGTGGGCACAGGGGGCCTTAGGCCACGGGGGTCTCAAACCTGCTGACCGTGTGAAACAGCTCTGGAGACAAGGGTCCTGCACCAAATGGGCGACAAGCACCCAACAGCCTCACAGTGTCACAGGGAATGAGGGGAAGCAAAGTCACCTCTGCCGGGACGGACTTCCATAGCCCAGGGTGCTCCAAGCCTCATCCAGCCTGGCCTTGGACACTCCCAGGGATGGGGCATCCACAGCTTCTCTGGGAACCTGTCCCAGTGCTCCCACCCTCTGCGGGAAGAATTCCTTCCTGA